TTTCCTGCCTTAGCATCCTGTAAATGGCAGGAAGAAGAAAGAAGAGATTCTCGTACAGCAGTTCGGCAAGTTTACATCAGATGACCTCTCTGTCTGATGCCATGGTCTATGGTACTTGTGATCCAAGTGCACTATCACCCCTGTTCCTTCAGACTTCATGCGTACTCACCCACGCACACTTCATGCTACTTTACACTATGGCAAATAGATTGGCTATCCCACACACGAGCAATGATCTTAACTTTGATCTTGACCTACAAGAGGTGATACCATTTGACCATATTACATATCAGCCCCAAAATTATATAAATAGATGAAACTCCTACATTATTAAGGGATAGCAAGGTACTAATTTCTTTGAATATAGTCTAAGTATAACGGTTATTACATTATTTAGAAATTTCTGTGTTACGATGTCTGTCTCCCTCACTAGACTCTGAGTATCTTAAGTGTCAAGATTATCTTGTCGGAAAACCGGGGCAATGTCTGACACATTACTCAATATTTGATGAATAAGTGAGCAAATAAATGTGCACATGTCCAGGGACGAAGTGGCTAAAAGCCCGGATTCAAAGGTCAGACTTCCTGATGCCAACCCCAGTTCCATTCTTATTAGCTGTGTGAACTTGGACAAATTGCTTAAGCTCTCTCTTGCATTTTCAGAGTCCTCATCTATAATATGTTGTAATAATCATATATACATCACAGAATGCATACCTGAGTGCCTGACACAATGTAAATAATCCATATTCTTATTGAATCTCAGAATGGGCAGCCACTCTACCAAAAGACACCAAGCATTTAGCTGGCTTGATCCCCGACTCTAGTCAAGAAAAACCCACTCTGTAAGCCTTCGTTTTATAAGCTGAGACATGATTTAATGGCCTTCCAGAATGCGACAGAGTTCCAGGCACAGGTGGTGGTGAGCAGCTGTTTTCCACCTCCGCTGAGAACCAGCTGAGAGTCTCAAAGAGCCACACGAGTGATTTGGGTATTAAGTATTAGAAATAGCTTCCTAATGTTCGAGGGTGTGAAACTCTAGGCTGAAGCTCAAGGAAAGCCACGGAATCCCCTCTCTTGAGATGCTTCAAAAATTGGATACTTAATCAGCTCTCTCTAAGATGGATAAAGACCAGGAAAGCACCTCGCATTAAAATAACAAGCAGCTTGCACAGGTCAGTCAAGTTTGAGTTACACTGCTGTTGACCTAGTTACGGCAAAGCACAATTATTACCTGGAGATCCAGACAAACAATAAGGAAGTATGGAAAGCAGATTCCTCTCCTTAGTGAGATTGTCACGAAACATTTAATGTGCCGTTAGTCTCCATTCAAAATAACTTTAAATATTAAGAAACCATTTCTGAAGGGCCTGAGTGAATGGTGCCTACCGTACTTCATGGGAGCTGGCAGCCTTGGGGGCCAGGTTTAGAAGCCACCTCAGGTAAGCACCTAACATCCTATTGTGTGTAAATCATGATACATGCAATTTCCAGCTTCAGATGGCAAATAGAAGAGGGGAAAAGACACTTCCCTTCCACCCTCTGTGGAGGGAAAGTGTCCCAGAAACTTCTATGAGTGAAGAGACCCAAATTATACACCTATTATTCCTTTCCAGCAGAAGAGTGTTTTGCATATTTCCTCTTGGGAAGAAAATACTCTGATTCTAGTGAAAAGGTGAATGCAGTCTCTTGCTCTTCTTCTTGGTTGCTCGGAGGAAGAGACCAAAAAGAAAGAAGATTTCTAGGAGAGAGAAAAGCTAGCAGAGGCTTTGATCCTGAGCAACCTGAGGCTTGAGTGAAAGCTGAAAGGGGTAGATGCACAGTACAGGTGGCCGAGGAACCTAGGCTCGTTTGCAGTTTTATACTCACATAAGGGGATTAGACAGAGAGCTGGAATGGTTATATGTGATAAAGGCACTTAAATGGAGTTTAATGGTTTGTTCTCTTCCAAATTACTGAACATTAAGTTTAAATGTTTTCATGTAAATATCAAATTATATGTATATAGCAGGATCACAAACTCACAAGTTCCTACTCAGTTTTTCAAAGAAAATGTAGCTTATTTTCTAAAGCAATTCTTCCTCCAAGATGGCACAAACTTGCCAATTAATGACATCTCAGTCTCTTCCTTTTTAACATGTCTTTTGGTCATTCCTTTTTTTTAAAGAGAGAGAGAATTCTGTTTACTCTCTCTCCCCAGAATGGCTCATGGTGATGGGAAAGAGGACTATGGCCAATTCGGTGGGTGGGCCCTCTCCTTTGTGGGTGGCTGGTCTGGCTCAGCCCTGACCTGGTGTCTGCTGGGGCACAGCGGATCCCTCGTGGCCTTTGCGAACACTGTGTAATCATCCCCTATGGGAGACCACGTACACCAGGCTGCAGGGCACTAAGGCCCTGCCTGCCTCAGGCCACGGTCATCCCCACGGCCAAGCAACTGCATTGCAGCTCCCAAGCCACACTGGACAAATTGCCAAGCCGAAGCCATCTTCTCCTCAAGGCTGCCGCCTCTTGTCGCAAGCTGCGATGCTTTCGGGGTCACCATTCCTGGCAGCATATTTCTATCACGACCTGCTCTACTCCCCATGCTTCCACCTTGCAAAGGAGAAAAAACAATATTTTCCTCTTGCAGCTGCAGCTCCTTCATTTCAGCTCAACTGGTTTCAACCAGCTGAAGCTGTGAAACGATCGCGACCTTTAGCGACCTCACCACCGTCACCAGAGCTAAGGAAAGCTGATGAACCGAGAACGCCGAGTGACCCTGGTCCGTTGGACCCTCACTAGACCCAACAGGGGGCTCTTTCCCAACCACAAACACCAGGACTTGTTTCTGCCCGCCACACGCGGGTTCACAGATGCAGTCGGACTGCCACGCACTGGCTTTCACCCATGGATTCGCAGAGATACCCTGACCGCCTCCCTTTCTGAAACCCCGACATCCCTCAGCAGATCCATTCACTGCCACGCATCCCTTTGCCTGGGAAGTAACTAAGTTCGGTGCTTGCTTCGTTAACACTGCAGCCACCGGCTTTCCATTTATAATCTCGACGGGAGAAGGAAGTGAGGACCAGGCAGCATCTGACGTCTTTGCCTTCCGCTCTGGTCCTCGCCCTCTTCCTCTCAAGTGCTTCTTCTTATGGCATTGTCCCCAGGGGCGCTGAGCCACAGGACCCAGAGTTGGTGGCAGATGGGATTGCAGGAAGAGAAACTGGCTTAGTAATAAAGATACATGTTGAGAAGTAGTTTTAAGTTATTATTCCCATTATATCCCTGTATCAAGAACGAAAACTCCACAGTTTAATCTGTGGCCACAGGACTGTCAAGATTTTACTTATTACATTACATATTAACAATTAAAAAAACAAAACAAAACAAATCACTTATGTGGTACTTAACATGGACCAGGTATTTTCCTAAGAGCTTGACTCATCTAATTCTTGCAATGTCCCGATGCAGTAGGTACTATCGTCATTATCATCCTCATTTTATAGATGAGGGAACTGAAGCACAGGACAGTTAGGTAACCTTGCCCACGGTTACGAGGTGAACAGTTGAGGAGCCAGGATTCAAGTCCAAGGAGTTTGGCTCCCGTGGAACTCACCCACTGCTTTCAGACTACGCCACTGGGTGTCAGCACACTGAACTGAAGCAGCAGCGGCCTTGACGTAGAAAGAGAAAAGCTGAGGGCTGTCTAGGTGCAAAACACTTATGCATTTCCTAATTTAATCTGAGAAATGAATAGACACTTTTAGAAAACAGAATATGCAATATTGAGTTAATGAAGTGACTCCTTGCATCAGAGGAGCTTTTGTGTATATTTCCTTAATTAAAAAAAAAAAAATGTAAAAACCTGAGAATAGGCTTGAAAGTTAGGAGGATCGGTCCCTAGCTTCTTCATTAACAAAGGGCTCTTTCCAGCTCTTCACACCTTTTCACACAATGAAACCATTATTAGACATACTTCAGGGAAGAGACCACTTGGTGTGCCGGAGACAAGCATTTGCTATAAAATTATCTGGTTTCATCGCTACCAACGTTAAAACTGTACATTGGAGTATAAAACCTGTACGTACAATTACATATACCAAAAAAAAAAAAATGTTCTTTGTGAGGAGCAATTTTCAGCAAATCTGACAAACGGTAAGAGTAATTTCTATTTTGAGTTTGAAAGAAAAAAATGGAAATGTCCAAGATGTCCCCCTCCTCCCTCTGGCTCCAGTGACCCTTCGAACATCAATTTGCAAAGGCCTGAAGCAGGAAGGGAGGTATTAACAATACCAACCACTCATTCCTCCTCTCTTATGGAAGGGGTGAATTTTTAGAAAATGTTCTCCATCATTTATTATACTGATGTTCCATCCATCTGCAGCATTAGGTTCACTAGTTACCATGACAATATGATGCCTACAGCAATCTAACTTGATAGCCAGATGCCAGAATGTGAAAAAATAGGACCAGCTAAGAAAGTGAGAGAAATGTAATTAATCTGAGCCACACAAAAATGTGCACAAAGCTACGACCCGGAGGGAAGCTGCTGATATGTTACTGAAGAGGGAACGGTGACAAGTCGCGAAAATCAAGTTTTAGTATTAAAACTTTTGCTAACTAGAGCCATGAGGTGGTCTGAAACTAAGCCTGAGGAAGGAGTCAGGTTAGTCCAGGACGTTGCTCTGAGTGCCACCCCCACCCTCGCCCCAATCACGTCCTGCTGCAGAGCCCGGTGACGTCATTGTTGAGTCCAGCAGTAACCGTCTTGTGCCCTGACTTTTGGGAGAATCCGAAGCCACCAGCCTAAGTGCTGCCATCGTGGCCTTCTGCTCACCTCCAGTCTGCTATTATACCCAGCTTTTCCGTCTGATGAAAGAATTTCCATCACATGAAGCTAATCTTAAGAGACTGGACGGAGCTGTGTCCTGGGAGGTCTTGTGCCCGTGCCTTCTCCATGCCCAGTGGAGGCAACGTGTCAGCACGACCCTGTCAGATGGCCCACCATGGTGGAGTCGCTGGGAGACTGATAAAGGAGAGTGACATAAACGTGGGGGTGGGTGGCCGTCCTCCTCACGGCTGGGTGGGATAGCGGCGCTGAGCCAGGCGATTCGGCCGGGTCAGGCTAGTGGTCACGGGGAGCTGGAAAAGAACAAACACTGTGCTGGATGACAGCCCCAAGCATGGCTCCATCCGGGGCCGACTGGCTGGACTGAGCTAGGGCATGCCGAGAGTCTGGAACGTTTCCACCGCATGCGGCTTCCCAGGGGGGGCTGTTCTCATGATTCACTTCCGCCCAGTACCTTCACCTCTTATATCCGGCAAAAGAAATTTGATTTTAGAAAGAGGGGAGGCCAAATGATGCATGAGAGCGATCGGTCCGCCCCGAGTCGCCGAGGAACGGGGAGTTTCACATCTCCAAGTTTGCAGTGATCCCCTTGACTCCAGGACGGAGCGATGGTGCAACCACTGATGCCAGCACCAATCGTGTCCCTTGAATTTTGAGACTTCGGAAAGGTCAAGGGCAATACTAACAGTAGAGACACTGACTGGACCTCTTCTGCCTGCCAGGCCCTTCACGTACATGTGCTCATTTAATCCTCACAGCTGCTTGGTGAGGTAGCTACCACTCCGCCCATTTTAAATATTCCAAATCTGAGACTTAGGGTGAGTCATTGCTCAAGAGCTCATGCACAGTAACTGGTAAACCAGGATTGCAAAGCCGGGTCTACTTAATCCGAAGCCTGTGCTCGCCCCTGTCCCTCAAGGCTTTCTTACCTGGGGGACCTGAGCTGGGTTGTAGAGAGGAACAGCCCCTTTCATGGGGGGTGGAGGAAGCAGAACGCCAGGGCTGAAGTAGAGCTCAGAGGAGACACCCTGTAATCAAGATAGTAGAAAATCCCATCAGTCACCGCTTCCGGGATTCCAGAGCGCCAAGGGCTCCCCTGAGCATCAACTTTGGCCAAGAGATGCAGATGGGAAGCATTTCTTACAGAACTCAGGAAATCTCAAGTGAACAAACATGGTGCAGGTAGGCACAGCCAACCCCTGGGGCTGGGGTGGCAATGCAGAAGCTCAGGTGTGGCCGTACCTGGAGCACGCGAGAAGAAAAAGTCACCATAAGTTATACCGATAGCATCATAGGAAGTAATGTCTTCTTCGGAACATACTAATATACTAATATAACTGCAAGAGCACTCCAATCAGGCCACCCTGGGAAATGAGAATGTTTTCCTAGCCATCGGCATGGGATCCATACCAGTGCAGACAATTTAACGAGAGTTATTACAGCCCTTGCCAAGGACACTGGTGAACTCTGGCTCTCACTGGAACATAGAGGTGGTTCTGTAGATGTCACCTAAAGAGGCAGTTATGGGCTAAATGCACGGCTTCATAGGTTGAAATCCTAACCCCGGTACCTCAGAACGTATTGGGAGGTAGAGTCTTTAAAGAGGTGATTAAGGCAAAATGAGGTCATCGAGGTGAGCCCTAACACAACACGACTGGTATCCCGGTAAGAACAGGAAATTTGGACAGAGACACACACAGAGGGAAGACCACGTGAAGACCCAGGGAGGAGACAGCCGTCTACAAGCCAAGGACAGAAGCCTCAAGAAAAACCAACCTTGCCGAACCCTTGATCTCAGACTCCCAGCCTTTAGAAATGTGACAAAATAAATTTTCTGTTGTTTAAGCCACGCGGTCTGTGACACCTTGTCATGGCAGCCCCAGCAAACTGATAGAGAAGCTTTTCCCACGTTCCCCATGACCTGGGCCCACCCAGGGTGGCTCCTGCAGTCCCCACACATGGGCACCAGGTGGGGCCCTAGGCTCAGCCCATGGGCGGCTCACCTCAGGCCCAGATAAGCCTCCACTCCCAGTGCCCTCGGCTGTTCCCCAACTGGACGCTGGTCTTCGGACATCACCCCTACCTAGAAAGCAATGAGTCAGCTATTCCT